CGTAACCTAGGGGCACATTTCGAGCCGTTCGATGAAGCTGGAAAATATGCAACCACGGGTTGGGACAAACTGTTGGCGATAGTCGGCGTGCAACCGAGGGTGGCACGGGCCTGCTTGAAGTGGTTCAACTCGGAACATGGGTACACAGACGCAGAACGTGGGTTACTGAAAAGTGTTTTTAAAGGGGTGACAGAGAAAATATGTGAAGAATACTTTGTCAGTCTGAGTGACACCAGGTGTTGTCCCAAACGTGTGGTGTAGCAGTTGCACCTATATATCCCCCCCCATGTCGCTTAGTGATGAGGAACATATACGTTATTTGTGGAAGAATGTGAATCGTTTAAGGTGTTGTTTGTTGTAGAAGATGGAGGTTTGTGGTTGTTCTTCTGGTGATCAACCACATGAGAAGCTTACTTGTCCCCCGGGTAACCTGAAGGAATGTATCGATTGGATTCTGAGGTTAACGGGGAAGGATGATACGAAGAATGGTGATCAGAATGGTAAGGAACTGGGAGAGAAGGTAAAGGCGTTACTTCAAAAAGCTAATGAAGCTGCCAAAAAGAAACTCAATGATGATCAAAAAGTGCTTAAAGAAGTAATACAAAAGTTGAATGGTAATGGTCAATTGATCACCAATTTGGCCGATAAGCTGAAAGATTTCATTGGTTACAATGATGGTGGTACAATTGGTAATGGTCAGATTGGTAATGATGGTATTGGTAAAACTGGTACTTACACCTCTTCTTACGATAAAGCCAACTGGAATGACCAATGTGTTAACAAACAACTCTGCGCTCGCATCTTCCTCGGCACTATCCCCGTAATGTTTTCCGGTTTGAGTTATTTGTATTGGCGATGTAATACGGGTAATGGTAGTGGTGATCGTTGGACCAAGCAGCTAATCAACAACTCTGGGAACCCCCTTGGCATCTATTTCGCCTGTTGTGGTTATAAAAAAGATGACTTGAAAAGTGATAAGCAAGGTTCGGCTATCACAGGTTTACTCACTGAATTCAAAGACAACGGTACTGCCAACGTCAAAGATGACTACTCGAAATACATCAACACATTACTAGAAAACACCAGAAAAAATGCCCCTAGCAATGCCACGAAACACCCCCTCTCCACTCTCTACATCGCATCGCAATATTATTTTCAATCGCAATTCAACAATGCTGGTACCCGTGTCCCAACCACCATCAGAGAAATGCTATATTGGTTAATGGCTCTACCCTATAGTGGTTGTTTCCAGTATGCGGAACAGGAGATTAAGAATGGTATCAATAAGCATGGTAAGATTATACCATTCAACGATGTCACCTTAAACGATACTGATCCCCTCGACTGTCTTATATTAACCACTTGCCATTACGCCGGTGTAGTACTATCCACTATACAAGGTACCCTCAATGGCCTCAAAACGGAAGATGGCACAGAACAATTGAACCTTCACAACATCTATTCCAATTCCCACTTCAAATTCAATTACCCGAACAACCTCTCCGATTGGTTCAATGAACTGTGGAATGTGGTGTATTATTTATTGTCTCAATTATATTTCCTCAGGGAACAGTGTAGAACATGTGTAGGCTCAGGTTGCGGTTGGCGGTGGTGTACATACGGGAAAGACGTAAAATATGACAACCTTAAATCTTGGATTTGCACTGCCAATCCATGTGGTGGCAGTCACAATGGTGGTACCTGCGATCAATCCAATGCCCACACCTCCAATTGCGGCAAAGACACCCATCGCTCCCCCCTCCAAGCTTTCCTATGTGACCTACTTACACCATTCCAATGTGAATTCCTAAAAAACGATAAATGTCACGTGGAAAACGGTCAACTTGTACCCACAGGTGGTGTCACCCCTGTACCATATAGTGACCATGTTTCCCATCGCAATTTCAATCAATATTGCCCAGTACCAATGGGATTCAATCACGAAATGTTAACACAGACCGATCGCACTGGTGACTGTATCTATTGGATACTAGTTTACTTCAACCAAAGTGACCGTAACTCCGTCAGTCTCGACAACATAATCATATGTCTAATGTGCTGCAGCCTACGTACCCCCCGTACAGTCGGCGATCTCTTCTCGTTCTTCCTCCATGCTGGGTTTTTCTTGAAAAATGGTGATGTCTCTACTGCCATTGAAAATGAAGGCAACAACACCCCTACTAAACCCATTGCAGAATGTAAGCAGATAACCACCGATCTCAATAATCTGGCTGGTAAAAAACATACCAGTAAGCCTCCTCGCCACACCTCCGATGCCGACCTCTACACCCTCTACAACAGTGAATGTGACAACCCCAACACCTGTGGCAATTACCTCCAATCGCTCTCCTATAGTATCTATTGCAATATTTCTAAAACTTTCGCTATGTCCTATCTATCACATATTGTGTACCTCACGGATGTCCTCAAAGAAGGTCTTAAAGTGTTACTTACAGAGTTCAACAATCTCACGTGCGAACATTGTACGAAATGTAGCCCTCATAAAAATAATCACGATACAGCCTGCCAATGTCCCACCATCGTCCAATGCGGTGACGTCCTACCCCTTTTCTTCAAATACGGCTTCACGTACTATTACGCAGCTGCATTGAACGGAAAAGCTTACGACTCAAAAACTCGACAATCCAAACCCGACTGGCTCCGCAAATGCTCCCAATTCTCCACTCAACTCCACGCAGTCATCACCGGCAAACCATTCAATGACCTCCTCTCTGCCATCGAAAAATTCCTCCTTTGCATCCGCCAACCCTTCCTGTACTACCTCTTCACATTCTGGCTTGTGGCCATTCTGTACTTCAGCTACGGTCTAACAATACCTCTAGACCTCTTCCATAT